AACAGAAGTTTCCATTCGGCAAATGATGACTCATTGCTGCTCCATATAAGTTGTTTACATCCAGATACATCAAATACGATTTCTCTTCCTCTGGGTTATACTCATTAGCACCCATGTAGTGGTTATTTGCCNGTAACAAAAGAAGATGGAACCGGTAGTGTAATCGTTGGGTGGATTAAGGAGACACATGTATGAGGAATTTTATTGAATAAAGAAATATTTTTTTTCGAAAATTTTTTTTTTTTTATTTTCTCGCCCTTTCTCCTCTACAAGTTATTTACAATATCATTGTTTTTAAATCCGTAAAGCAACGCNGAAAGTAAATGTCTACCTTCTGGATATGTTGGAATTATCACAGAAACTCTAAAAAATCAGNGGTAATTGGCGTTCACTTAATTTCCCCCATGAATCTAAGTATTCGTATGGGAAAGCTCCTTTGTGTGTAACGAGTTCGAATTGTCATTTTTGGGGGCAATGACTGGCTGTGATTCTCTTTTTTTCATCCTCTAAATATGACGAAGCAGCACCACGATATTTGCCTGTGAAGTGGCAATGATCACGATGCTTCACTGCTTTTTCGGTGAATGCTCTGCCACAAACATAACAATTTTTAGCTGCATTAAATGCTCGCTCCATTTCAAACGTCAAGTTCATCGGCTCATTTCGCTGTAATTCAGAATCGACTTTTATCGCTAAAAGACGTAACTGCTCAATGACTGCTTCATTTATCGTGGGAAAGATTGTATGCAGTCTTTCCCACGATAAATAAAAAGTTCCGATTTTGAGTCATCATAACTACATTTCACATAAAATGCAACACTGAACGGCACATGATTTTGGTGTATTTTAGTGTTTTGCTCATTGTCATAGGGCCCTTTTTCAATAGACACTCAGTATCAGCATACACGACATAGGGAACATTCAGTTGGTTTTTGAAATTTTGAAATTTCAAAATTTTTTCAGCACTGTGGGGAAAAATCATTTGACACTTGTTGATTGATACACAATCGAGCCTACGATTAGTGTAGGCCTCTTTCTTGAAAATGTGACACAAACACCTGTCACATATGAGTGTTTTATGTTCAACTTTTGAAATTTGTGTACCAATTAAACGAGATAAATTCGAGATCCATGTATAGTGATAAATTCCTTCCTGTTCACCATCGAGGATGTCTTCTTTTTCAGTTATGAGAAGGCGAATTGTTTTTCCTTCCTCATGCAGTGCGGTTGGAGGATTTCTGCTCAAGTAAAGTGACACAATCCATTTTTTTTCTGATTTTTCGCCACTATCAATTATATATACATTGTGAGGTATTTTTCCAAGCGCGTCTGCGGGATTCAGACGCGTGGTTCTCCACGAACTTTCAGCGACCCTTTTGGACTCTCTCAACCCGGAATTAGAACGACGGGAATAACGAGAGGAGACAAAATGCCAAAAAGGGCGCCAGTCCTTTTAACCGCCAAAGGACAAGGTCACACCGTTGAGCCGCGTTCCATGACTAGCTCAGATAACCGCGGAGGCGTGTGGGAACAGGCTACAATGAGCGGGACTCAACAATATGCAACTTTTACAAAACAAAAAAAAATATATTTTTAATCCAATGAGTTAAGTCTGATCTTTTACACGTGCGGGAAAGGACTCCCGCGAGCAAAGACGCTATATAAACCAAAAAAAATGTAATTAACTTAGGGATACTAGCTAACTAAAAGAATTAATAATAATTTTAGAGATGCGTGGGAGACGCTAAGACGCGAGGATCACCCGTAAGCGACGACGACGCGCGAGCCACACGAATGAAGAAATTGAACAAAGTTCCAAAATCAAACCTGATAAACGGCAGCAATATCGATGAAATAATTAATATTCACTGATGAAAATAAAGAAATGACGCCAAAGGCCACTGAGTGCCGCGTCCCGAAGGCAGAAGGCTCGAATTTTAACACTCAAACGGTGTCCAAAATGGCCACCGGAGAAATAAATCGAAAA